TACATCCCGATAAGTCTTCAACCAAGACCCATCACATACTCGTCTCCAAGTATAACAACTCATAATGCTCCACCTGCATCACAAGCCCCGGGCAAGCTCCACCTTAAGGCCAACACACCTACACCAGGAGCTCCCCAACTTCGCCCCTCAGGGCCTACTACATCACGTAGTAATCAATATTTAACAAGTCTAAGCAATGTTTAAACTTGCTAAACGGAACAGGCTTAGTGAAGAAATCAGCCGGGTTGTCAGCAGTCCCAATCTTCTTCACCTTAATCCTCTTGTCAGTACGTAAGAAATGATACCTGACATCAATGTGCTTCGTCCGATCATGGTGTACTTGATCTTTAGCTAAGCAAATCGCACTTAGACTATCACAATACACTGTAGCAAAATCCTGTGCAATACCCAGTTCACCTACTAGGCCTTTGAGCCAAATAGACTCCTTAGCTGCAGAAGTTAAAGCCATATACTCAGCTTCAGTAGTTGACAACGTAACTGATGACTGCAATGTAGACTTCCAACTAACCACAGAACCACCCAAAGTGAACACATAACCAGTCACAGACCTCCTGGTATCCACATCAGCTGCATAATCAGAATCACTGTACCCAGTGACCAAGCATTCCTTATCATTCCCGTACACAAGACCAATATCAGCTGTCCCTCTCAGGTAGCGAAAAATCCTTTTCACCCCTTGCCAGTGTTCCCTCCCAGGTCGAGCCATAAACCTGCTTACAACACTAACGGCATGCGCAATATCCGGCCTAGTACAGACCATAGCATACATCAAACAACCAACCGCATTTGCATATGGAACTCTAGACATATAAGACAACTCCTCCTCTGATTGAGGTGACATAGACAAAGACAACTTACAACTAACAGTAGTTGGCGTACTTATAGGCTTCGATTTTTCCATCCCAAAACGAGACAAAATCTTTTCAATGTAGCTTTTCTGAGTCAAGAAAAGCTTACCTCTAGCCCGATCCCTGTAGATCTCCATACCCAAAATCTTCCTAGCTGCACCCAAGTCTTTCATGTCAAACTCCGAGTTAAGCATCTCCTTTAATCTAGCAATATCAGATTTATTCTTTGTGGCAACCAACATGTCATCAACATATAACAAAAGATAAATCATGGAACCATTATCCAGCTTACTATGATACACACAGCAATCATATGAATTCCTGTCAAAACCTTGTGAAACCATAAAAGAATCAAACCTTTTGTACCACTGTCGGGGGGATTGCTTAAGTCCATACAATGACTTTAGCAATCTGCAGGCATAGTGTTCCTTTCCAGGAACTTCGAATCCTTCGGGCTGCTTCATCAGAATCTCCTCCTCCAAATCGCCATGAAGGAAAGCCGTTTTAACATCCAACTGCTCCAGCTCAAGATCAAAATGTGCTACAATTGACAATAACACACGGATAGAAGTATGTCGAACCACAGGTGAGAATATCTCAACAAAATCAACCCCTTCTACCTGACTGAACCCCTTAGCAACTAGCCTAGCCTTAAAACGTATTTGCTCAGTTTCCGACAACCCTTCTTTCTTCTTGTAAATCCATTTACAACCCACAAGCTTCCTCCCTTCCGGTACTTTTACCAGTTCCCACACTCTGTTCTTGTAAAGAGACTGCATCTCTTCACCCATTGCGGCAAGCCATTGCGCAGACTCACTACAACTAATTGCTTGTTTATATGTGGCAGGTTCAAATGACTCTACATCATCAGCTACACTCAATGCATAACCTGTCATCGCATCAACACAGCAATTTCTTCCCTCCATCTCTTCAATCAATCTAACAGGCTTCTTGATAACTCGTTTAGGCATCTCAAGAATGGTGTCAGGTTGACTAGATGACCCCTGATTAGATTGCTCCACCTCATCCCCAGAGTTAGAATGAGTAGGAGTAATCTCAGGTTCAGGAGTACCCGGCACTGGAACATCAGCATCATCATCAATATATTGTACCCGAGGTAAATCAGCAATGGTAGACTGATGTACCTCAAGTACCCCATCTGTCTGTAATAAATTGTCTCCTTCCCTTCTCAAATCTGAAATCTCTGCATTTTTAATTGAATACATGGTGTTTTCATCGAAAGTAACATCCCTACTAAGAATGACCCGACCCTCCGAAGGTGAAAAAATTCTAAACCCCTTCACACCATCCCCGTACCCAACAAAACACCCCTTCTTGGCTCGTGGATCCAGCTTACCCTCAATAACATGATAATAAGCAACACAACCAAAAATCTTCAAATTCGAAAAATTAGGCAACTTACCACTCCAGATCTCAAACGGAATCTTGGAATCAATTCCAGAATGAGGACCCCTATTAATGACATAACAAGCTGTTAACACAGCTTCACTCCAGTACCTCCTCCCAAGCCCTGCATTAGAGAGCATGCATCGAACTCTCTCTAGCAGTGTCTGATTAACCCGTTCTGCTACACCGTTCTGCTGTGGTGTCTTCCTGACAGTATGATGCCGACCTATACCCTCATCTGCACAGAACTGATTAAACTCGTCTTTGCAAAACTCTAGCCCATTGTCCGTTCATAGCTTCTTGATCTTCCTTCCTTGTCGATTTTCCACCAAAGCTTTCCATTGCTTGAAAACTTTGAAGGCCTCATCCTTTGACTTAAGCAACCTAAGCCATGTGTATCGGGACTTGTCATCAACAAATGACACAAAATAGTGGTAACCTCCCATACCTTCAACTCTAGATGGACCCCAGCAATCTGAATGGATGTAATCGAGCACTGCATCAGTAATGTGAGCACCCTTGCTGAACTTTGACCTGTGTTTCTTACCAAACACACAATGCTCACAAAATTCAAGGTTGGCAACCTTGACCCCGGATAGAAGACCCCTCTTGGACAATAGCTGCATCCCCTTCTCCCCCATATGACCAAGCCTCATGTGCCAAATCTTAGTCATCTCCTGGTGAGATACAGATGCGCAAACCGCAGAACTAGGCAGTGTAACACCCTCAAAAACATAGAGGGTGTTCCTTTTGATACCCTTAAGTACCAACTCAGAACCTCTGAAAATACACAACTCCCCATCTGAAAACACACCATTGTACCCCAAGTCATCCAGGGTACCCAATGAAATCAGATTCTTTCCTAAAGCAGGAACATGCCGTACATTAGTCAAAGTTAACCTCCGCCCATCAACAGTCCTCAACCTCATGGAACCAATACCTGTGACCTTACATGGAGCATTGTTACCGACTATAACCATGCCCCCATTGCGAGGTTCATATGTATCAAACCAATCTCGACGTGGACACATATGGAACGAACACCCTGAATCTAGAACCCAGTTATCAGATAAATCATCAGACCTAGCAGAACTGACTAATGCTAAATCTTCCTCTGAATTATAGCTCTCATTCGGTTTCTCTTCAACTACAGCAGCCTGGGACTTGTTTTTCCTCACCGGACAATTATTCCTAAAGTGACCCGGTTCTTTACAGTAATAACATGTTTTAGTAGTAGTTTTACTAGATCCATCCTTGCCGTTTCCAGCACCCGACCCAGCATTGTTCCCCTTGTTAAACCCCTTATTCTTTTTAGACTTTCCGGACTTAACAAACAACCCACTACCATTATCCCCATTATCACTCGTAGCTTTCATTCTGAGTTCCCTAGTATGAAGTGCTGCCTTCACTTCTTCTAAGGTTATAGAATCCTTACCAACAACAAAAGACTCTACAAAATTCTCAAAGCTAGACGGTAGAGATACAAGTAAAATCAACGCAGCATCCTCATCATCAATTTTAACATCTAAATTACGTAAATCAAGCAAAATAGAGTTAAGTTTTTCTAGATGTTCCCGTAAGGAAGTACCTGACTGCATCCGGAGGCTAAACAACCGCTGTTTCAGTAATAATTTGTTGGTCAACGACTTAGTCATATACAATGACTCCAGCTTCAGCCACAATCCAGCCGCCGTTTCCTGATCAGCCACCTCCGTGATGATTTGATCATCAAGACTAAGTAATATGGTAGAGTGTGCCTTCTCTTCCATAACTTCTAACTGCGAGTCAGTCGGTCCGTCTCCTGACTCCGAAGTAGTACTCTTTGGAGCCAACGGACGCCATATCTGCTGTTGTTTTAACAGAGCCTTCATCTTAATTTGCCATAGCCCGAAACTATTTTTCCCGGTAAACTTCTCAATTCTTATTGTTGAATCTCCTGCCATTGTTATCTTCAAGAAACTCTCCAAGGATTGAACCTGAGCTCTTGATACCAATTGTTGTGCGACAGCGGAAGCAAAGGTCGTAAACAAACAAGAAAACAATAAAGAAATTCAATGCAAACAATAAGAACAACACCAAGAATTTACGTGGTTCACTATCGATGTGATAGCTACGTCCACGGGCACCGAGATCGAATGATTTCACTATAAACTGGCAAAGATTACAAAGATTACAATGAAGAACTTAATCACTCAAAGTATTCTCTCTCTTGTGTTTCTCTCTCCGTTACCCTAATAATGATAATAGGAAGTTTATATAGTAGTGATTCCTAATTAAGATATACTTAGGTTACAATATCACAATATGATAAATATTAAATTCGTAATCGCTGAAAAAACCCAGATCGCCCGGTCGGGCGAAGGCCCGCCCGATCGGGCGCGAGAACACGTCTTTTCCAACAACCGAAGTACTCCAAAAAACCCCTTCCGCCCGGCCCGATCGGGCAATGTCCGCCCGATCGGGCGAAGGCTCGCCCGGTCGGGCGAAAGCTCGCCCGGTCGGGCGAAAGCTCGCCCGGTCGGGCGCGCGAGAGCAGCTTCTTCAACGAATTTGCCAGGCACCTCTTCTTCTTCCGCCCGGTCAGACCGGGTAATGTCCGCCCGATCGGGCGGACAAAGCAACGAAGTACGAGTCACCTAATACTTATCAACATCACTTCCTTTTTTCTTTTTCTTTTTTTTTTCTTTTTTTTTTTTTACTTGACCACTCCAAGTAAATTATACCTTTTTTTTTTTGAAAAAGATGGGCATGAACTTTCCCTCATGTATCTTTTTCTTCTTTTGGAGGTAGAAACTTCGTTAGTACCAAAACTTGGTACTACCAAAAATCCTCTACTTATCATCATCATCACTATGATATCGACTAATGATACCTAAAACCATAAAAAGAAGTTGTAAAGAAGACGATTAATGTGATCGATCAAAGGTTGTAAGATGTCTTGATTCAGAATTCCAACATTGTCCAATATCAGCTGCAATTCTCTTAGCATCCATTGATGCACCTAATAATCCTCGTTTGGTAAACCCTACCGCGTATAATCCTGATTCACCTTTCCATCCATTAGGGAATGGCCTTCGCGGAAGTCCATCTTGCTCTGAGAACATCTCCCTTTCCTAGATGAGAAAGAAAATGGAACACCATACTTTTACTTTTTCATTCATTTTTAACTTTTATTTTTGCTAAAATATAATACAAATTCTTAAGAGCCTAGAAACTAAAATCAATAATAACATAAAATGGTAGCGAAATGTAACAAAGATAAGGAATTTTATTTATGAAAGAAATATAAAGAAAAAGATGATACCTTTAGCCAATGTGGCACATTGCTTTTGTATCCAGTTGCTAAGATGATTGCATCAAAGTTCTCTACACTTCCATCAACAAATTCAACTGCATGGTGCATTAATCGCCTGATGCCTGGACATACCTATATGTACGGTAACAAATATGCAACATTTTTAGTCACTTTATTTTAGCATTCTTAGGTCATAGCTATGTATATAAAGAGGGCTGACAAAATCAATTGAACAATAGTCGTCTTTCAAAAAATATACTCGCATCATCATTTCAATTGCTATATGGGTATTAATTTTCTTGTCGATAGAGAGATAAAAAAAGATTCAATCATATGCCTTGAGTACCACTGTAAGATTGCACTTGTATTATTAGTTTAAATCATAACATGTCACGGTCCATTGTGTGTACAATCAAGTTAGTTTAGGTATAAAGAGTCTAATATAATTGTTTTTATATCATAAAATAGACATTTATAGGCAGATAAACATCCTCCCAATCCCTCCTACCACTAAAATAAAATGCTAATAATTAGTGTCAAGTTGATATAGAAATTATTAATAAATGATTAATCTAATTCTCAAAAAGGAGAAAAAAATAAATAAACAAAAGGTGAAATGAGATTGAAAGAGGCCTAAATCACACCAAAGGATTTGCTAATGATTTATTAGCTAGTAATGGAAGTGAGTATCATGTCCCACTAAATTCTATCAAGTAACAGGAGAAGTTATGCCTTATATGGGCAAAAATCTTATTAGGATCTCTCAACTTTGGAGCTCATGAGAATCAAGAACGAAAGCAAGAGGGAGAAAAAACACATGAGGGAAAAAAAGTAAGATGTGAAATGATTGTAATAATTATAGAGACATGAAGTACTACAACTATACCTTGATGTCTCCTCTTTTGATCTTGTCAAACGTCCCAACATCTAACACCGGCGTCTTTCCTGTCAAATTTTTGAGCTCGAGGGGACCCGTTTTGGGACGAGCTAAACCTAATTTTGAAGTATCGCCAAATATTAACCATGCGATTATTAACATGAGCCGGTCCACTAGGGTTATTGGCAACCACTTGAGCAACCACATGGATAACCCGAAAGTTGATCTTCCGAACATTTCTCTTGGTAAGAGATGAACCTTCAAAACAAATAACACAACTCAATTATTTATCAAGACTTGTAAATTAAATGAACGGATTGAATTAAGAGATACTCAAAAGATCTGTCATGAGTGTCAGGTTCGATTCTTATCTGACTATTGTATCTCCATCTAAACTAATAATAAACCATTAAAAAAAAACTCGATCGGAACAACCATATGTAAAGGTAGACTTGACTGCTAAAGGAAGGTGGGAAGTAAGGCCAAATTCGTGAGTGTAGTACATCCTAGTGCAAGGTGTTTTACAGGCAACAAATGCTTCTTTACAGATGAAAAACCTTTTTAAGGAAGGGTTAAAAAAGATTGGGCCATATATATATGATTATATTATAAATAAAATTACTTAGTAGTAATATTCTTTTTAGTTAGCTAATATGTTTTGAGCCAATGTTGCGCATGCTTGAGCATCCCAAGAAAGTGAAAAAAAAAATAGGAGAATACTACTAATACATCCTTCCAATTTGCAAAATTATGAACAGTGCTTGGAACTTGAACTCACTAACTAATTAGACCAAAATTAATTATAACAATCCCATAAAAAAGATTTTATAACATTTTTTAAAAACTTAACTTAAAGCTTTATTGCATGCCCATGACTACTATATATAAGTGCTTTTTTATTTTATTATAAAGTTTTCATAAAGCTTCACTTTTCACTATACTATGAACAAAAGAGCACACACACGCTCACACAAAATTCCACAATTATATCATAATATATTGGGGAGGAGGTGAAGTGCTCAAGTTATGATTAAAAATCCATTACCGAAAGATAATCAAATTAAAAGAAAAATTAAAAAGAAAGTAGGCATCAAAACAAATGATTTCGTAATGTTATTTTGTCATTATTTTAAGAAATTAGTTTAGAATTAAATCACTTAAATTTCAATTAGTCCTTTCTTTGTCATGGTGGAGAACTACTAAAAGTTGGGTCTAGCTTTGTTAAAAGGCTAAACCAATATTAGGCTTTTTGATCATTCAATAGGTGATTCTAAATATAGGAGGACACTATAACTAAACTAAAAAATAGCACCGCCCCCTTTACTTCTTATCTTTTAAGTTAACTCCCTTTTCATAGCATGCCAAACACATAGAAAGAAACAAAACATGCGGCAATATCTTGCATAATTAAGATATACTAATTCAGTTGTGAAACTATCTTTAAATCGATAAATTAAACAAGGATCTGAACGTGTGGTGAAGATTTTTTTTCAAAGCAATATTGACGCAGTCAACAGTCTAATTAACCTATTTCAGCTAAACACGGTCAAATTTTACTTTCTTTAACTTAAATCCAAAAGGTTTCTTTTGAAGAAAAAAAACATAAAAAGATGAAGAACAAAAGATAAAATTAAAACTTGATGAATCTAATTAATTATTAATTAATAAGAATAATTAAGGATAGTACGATAGTATGGTGGTACTTACTGTATCTCGGACCACAATTGAAGGCATAGCATTATGATGACAAAGGTCCAAACATACTTCCATCCCTGAATTTCCACTTCCAACGACTAACACCCTTTTACCTCTAAACGTTTCACCACTTTTGTACGAACTTGTATGTACTACTTGCTTACCAAACTCCTTCAATCCTTCTAACTCCGGCATCACCACCTCCGCATTCTCCCCCGTCGCCACCACCAACCACCGGCACACGTATTCCGTCGTGAACACAATCTCCTCATCACCACCGCCTTTTTCTATTGTCCCTCTACCACTAGTAGAGCAAGTAGTGGACGTTCTTACCCTCCAAAACCCTAGTGTTTGATCAAATTCCGCTTTCTCCACCGTCTGATTAAACAAAGGCTTGATATCGAATTTCGTAGCGTAGTCTTCCAAGTATTCAATAAACTGCCTCTTCGTAGGGTACATAGGGAAGTCTTGTGGGAAGGGCATTAAGGGTAATTCACAAAATTGCTTAGGAAGGTGTAGCCTTAAACGATCATACGTCTTAAGTTGCCATAAAGACGCAATACAATTAGATCTCTCTAGAATCAAACTTGGTACGCCCTTCTCCTTCAAACATGCCGCGACGGCTAACCCTGATGGCCCTGCCCCTACAATCACCGGACCCGAAACTAGTATGCAACGCGTGTTCGTAGTCGTTTTCGTGTTACGTTGTGGATCATTCGCTAGTTTCCCTTCCATCTCTCTCAAATTGTTGTAAAAGTACTCCATATTGTTGTTATACTACTAATAACAAAGAAACTATAATTTTTTTTTTATCTAAGGATTTCGTAGTTGTGTGTGTTTATATGGTTTGTTAACTACTACTAATAATAGTAACAAACAAATAGAACAAGATTAGAGGAGAAATGGTTAATAACAAACATTAAGTAGAAGCACATGTTTGTAACTAACAAAAATGAAGAGAGATTATTAATTAATGATGATAATAATAATCCTAGATAAATTCTTGAAAAGATGGGAATTTTCTTGTTAGAAAAAGATAAATAATTAATAAAAATTAAATAAAAAGAAGATAAAATAGAGGGTAGAATAAATCTTAGAATGGTGGTGTTGTTGAATGGAGAAGAGAAGAAGAGATGAGAGGAGAGCGGCGAAGGGTACGGGGGTGATAAATCAGCATTGAACACCAAGAAAGAGAGAGAAAGAGAGTATGATAGAGAGAGTGAGAGGGAGAGATTGTGATTTGTGAATATATATATATATATTCTTTTGCATCTTATTTTCTTAAAAAATATTTTTAGAAAACATATGGTGTGTGAGGAAGTGTGGTAAAAAGGTATTGAGCTCTTCCTCCAAAAAAAAAAGGGTATTGAGCTCTAGTTTGAGTGGGACTTTTTCCCCATAACACCAACAAAAAAAAAAAAAAAAAAAAAAAAAAACTTAACATTTTTTTTTGGAAACTTTTATAATACATGTCTAGCTTATGCATGAACGTCACTTAATTATCATTGAATGTCAATTTGATATGGAAGCAAAATTCTTATTGAAAAGGGTTTTTAAGAGTTTTGTTAAGACATATATAGATACTTATGAAATTTGATTTAGGATAAGTGATGGAATAAATAATGGTAAAACAAAGTGATAGAAAAGGACGGTTAGTCGGTTACTCAAGGTTAAAGATCAATCTTTGAGATATATGTATGATCCGTGTTGGTGTAATTTAGAGGATATATATACTTTAGCTTGTTGGATAGTGTTGGATTCTTGGACTAATGACTAAGACTTATTGGCTACAACAAAATTTTGAGATCTATTAAATTTCTACATTCATTGTACTTACATACATTATTGATTTTCCCTTGATTCCTTCAATATTTAATAAAAAAAAAATTAAATATGTTTATAGATCATAGTTGGTTGCTCTTGCATATTTGTGGTAATTAATTTGTTATTCGTTAATTAGTATAACTAATGCAATTTTGTAGCATATATGGTATGTCAATTTTTTGTTTAGAATGAGTTGAATTTGATCAAAATCAACATCGAATTACAAAAGAACACCCCCTCGTGTAGTCATGGAAAGCTAGGAGGCAATATACAATGAAAGAACAATATACGAGTATATGAAAAAGGGTACACTGATGTGTAAATTGTGTCGCACATCATCTATAACCATTGCAATTTTATAGGAAAGTAATTTAATTTGATCGAATAGGTTGAGGTGGTGGACTAGTAATAATGCTCCCCACCTTAGATCCCCTTGTCTAGGATCTGAGGTGCAGCATTTAAGGGATTTTCCCTTAAATCAGTACTTTTTACATTGTTTTAACATCATTTAAGTTTGAATTAATAAATTTTATTTATTTTTAAAAGAAACAATGCATATATAGTTTATAAGGGATCATATTAAATTGGAAAACAATGGTAAAAAGGAAAATTAATTTAGTAAATATCGGAGGAAAAAATAATGGGAGAAAATGATCTGCGCAATATGTGTGGTATTAACGCTGATATATGAAAAGTCAAAAATTATACTCACCGGAGTTCAAGGAATGGCCCCTCTTTGCCATAAAAGTGTGTTTTATAATATTAGGTAATGTATTCAAACTTTCTATTTATGATAGTTTCTTAAAAACATAATATTAAGGTTGACAAATTCTCTTAAAATTATTAATTTTTACAATAGTTGGTTCGTTGATGAAATGGACAAATATAGATAAGTACTTAAATTAGTCTTTATTAGTTTTCCTTGATTCTCAATTTAAAATTGATGAGAATAATTTGTTGAATTTAATAGTGATCAATATATAACTTGAAATACTATATTATATTTAACAATTTTTTTTTGTTGTTGTTTAGAGAGCCACAAGGACGGGTGATGAGAATCGATCCCAAGATCACCTAAATCGGATGGGAGGGGAACATATTTTTATTTTAACAAATCAAACAAGTGAAATCAATATTCCATAGATTTCTATACTTTTACTTTTCTGATAATTTCTATAGTTTTACTATTTGTCATATTTCAAATTAAATTAATTTATTCTAAAGAAATTGTAGCCTTGTAGGCACTCAATCAATTGATTTAATTTTTGAGTCAGGTTATTTTGCGTTTGTATCAACTTATGGCTAGATCATATTTGGTTTTGGGTCAACCCCTTGACCAATTAACCATGACCCAAAATTTTCAAACGTGGGCCAGATCATTCTCGACAAAATTTTGTTCTTTACATTGATTAATATTAATAAAGCGTAATATAATAAGAATGTGTTAACGATAGTAGTAAATTTAAGTCAAATATTTAGAGTAAACTTATGTAAAATGAACTCATAACTTTTGTCAAAAAAAAAAAATGAACTCATAACTACTAATTATTCTACTTATCATCATATCAAATTACAAGTAAACAATTGTAGCAACAATCCAAGGATTGAAATAAAATAAACAAGGTGTAAAAATACAACATAAAAATTTGATGTATTTTCAAAATCGTATAATTATATCTTTTTCTCAAGCCAATTGGTCATATTTGGTTGGGTCCAATTTAAAATTATAAAATTTATTTTATATTATAAAATTTTAGTTATATTTGAGGTTTGGTTCTAATATCATGTTCAAAATCCTATTGATTCAAGTCAATTTTGTGTTAATTTTTTCATTGGGTTTAAGATTGAGACAAATTTTGCCGGTCAAATTATATCAGCCGTGAGTTCCTCCTGACTTAGTTCCTCAAACTATATTTCACAGTTACATTAATCGTATTTCCTTGATCATCCAATAGGTATGTCAATTTATAATAAAATTACAATATATATATAGTATTATGGAGTAGTATTTTGTGTTTTCTTGTTGTTTTAGAGAGAATTATACTGTAGTATGATTTTGTGTATAATTGGCCTCTTATAGAATCGTTAATTTGATGCTCAGTTACTAGTCACTACAAGATGTACAACCACTCCCAATCTCCCTTTGTAACTAAATCTGGCTTGGTTTATAGTCACAACGCTCACAAAGTCACAAGAATACGGGTGAGAATCACTTACCCTTCTCCATACTCCAGGTTGTTGGGGATGTTATGATGGTTGGGCTATCTTATGATATAATTGACCCCATTCTAGATCTTTATTATAGTGGACGGAATAATTAAAAAATTATTCCTATTGTATTTAAATATACTTCTTCTATTACCTCTTTTGTGACGATTATAGCTACTTCTAAGTCACAAAGACAAATTATGTAGAAAGAATTTGATTATAAGTTTTGGGTATCTCCTCTAAAAAAGTTAATCAACTACTGTAATTTAAACTACAATAGATATTTAATCGATAATCTAGTAATCCAAGTTGGCTACTGTTGATTTTTTTTTTTTTTTTTGGCCAAGTATGAGTACGAGTGATAAGTTGGCGCAGTTATCTTACGAGGTAACTAACTCGACCTGTTACGTTAACTAGAGGTGTCAATTCGGATGATCGGATCGGGTCTGAGGAGGTTGAGTCGGGCCAATTTTTAAAGTTGAGTCAATGCTAAATTGCTATGTCCACACGAGTCCAAATTTGAATTGGATATTTTTCAGGTCGGTTTCAGATCGGGTCAGGTGTGGTTTTGACACCTCTAATGTTAACCCTCCCTAAATCAAATGTCCATAGTAAGGTTTGGACCCCTGGCATTGGGGTGGAAAGTAGAGTTGGTTCTAACAACACAGCTTTTAGTGGTACGTACTACACATTTTGGTTTGATAAGATATTAAGATATGAGGATGAGGATTCATACAGCATTAAGCAATCATTAGTAGCTAATTATATGCCTGTTTAGTCTTAATTACATGCCTATTACCTTTAGATTTTGGCAGCAATTATGACAGTTAAGAATTCGGTTACATACCAGTCCCCCAACCTTCTTTAAAGATGTGTGAGTCAATTTTAAAACTCTTCTAAGGGAGATATCCAAAATCAGCCGCAAAAAGGTGCTAATGAGCCGCGTAATTATGTTTAATGTTTTGCCTCTTGATTAAGTTTGTTATGTGCAAATTAAATTTAGTCCATATTCTTCTTCTTCTTCTTTTTTTTTTTTTTTTTTTTTTTTTTTGATACATAGTCCATATTCTTCTTAAAGTAACCTCATCCCTCCAATCTTTTGCTTTATATTGATTCAATAATTCGATGGCTAGCATTTTAAACATCTACATATTAGAGATGTGTATAAGTTTACTGGGTCAGGACGTTGGTTTTAGCATGACCCACCTAGGTTGGCCCGATTAATTCATTATTTAGGTCCAACCTGGTCAAATTTCGATGCAACCTACCTTTTAAGGTGGGTAAGGTGTTGATCGAATTTCTTTTAATATGGATTAACTCGTTTTCCAAAGTTGCTTCCTAATATGTGAGATACAAAGCACACCAAATGGTTGACACTCAAACGGGTTAAGTTAGTGTAAATCCCAACTAACTTATGAACCCAGCAGCCCAATCCCATGCCCAACTCGGCTTGGTTAGGTGTTAGCCTACATACACCAATCTAACTTGCCTAAATACTCCTTGTGTTTCGTAATTAAGGCACATTGTTTCAGACAGAATTTAGTATGTAGTTAACATATTGTTATTTTAAGAAAAAAGGTACTCTATATATGTGATGACATATAGTGAGTTTTTTTATTGTTAATTGATTGATAAAGAGTGTTGGGCCATAACTTTTAAAAGTGGGAAGAAATAAATATTAATATATATAATATTAATAGTGGGTTTGTATAGGGGGCAAACAAAATTGCTACAAACGGTAAAAGATCAAATCAACTAAAAACTTTAATCAGGCAGATGGTTGAAACTCAAGATTGATTTATATTCTTTATCATGTTCCCTCTCATAAGAACCTATTGAGTTAAAAATGTGGATGCAGCATGAACCCCATTATACCCAACATTTAATGTATTCCACTTTTTATAGAAGAGGAGGGGGGGGGAGATTCGAGGCGTGACCAACCTTTATGTCATGCTGACGCTGATACCATGTTTAACTAAAAGTTTAAACTGATTGGTGAAGTACAACATTGGTTTATATATTCTATCACAAATGGAAAATTAAATAGGCAAAGTAAATTAGAACAGAGAGTACATAGCTTTCCAAATTTGTTTATGACATTATAAACATTGCTTTATGTAGTTCAAAAACAATTTTATAATGATGAAAAGGGCATGGCCTTAACGTAACATAGAAAAAGATGTTATGGTATTGGCTTGGTACTAGTGTACCTTGGATACC